CCTGTCCTGTGCAGGAACCGGCACTGCCGGCTGGCGCAGCAGGGTAAGGACTGCGCGCAGGGCCTGCGGCTGCGCCACCACTACATGCTGTGCGGGGCCCTGCTGCGCGTGTGGGGCCGCATCGCCGCCGTCATGGCCGACGTCACCAGCAGCAGCTACCTGCAGATCGTACGTCTCAAGACCAAGGACAAGAAGAAGCAAGTTGGTGAGCGGTGGGCGCGGGCGGGGTGGGGGAGGTCGGCCCCCCGCAGGCCCTGACCTCCTGGCGCCCTGCAGGCATCAAGATCCCCGAGGGCTGCGTGCACCGGGTGCTGCAGGAGCTGCAGCTCATGGACGCCGACGTGAAGCGCAAGCAGGCGCGCAGCCGTGGGCTTCCCCCTCCACCGGCCGCCCTGCGCCCGCTTGCAATGCCCTGCGGCCCCAGCGAGGTCCTAGACCTCACCTACAGCCCACCCGCCCAGGCCTTCCCTCTACCCTCGCCGTTCACCTTCCCACCGCCGCCGCCGGTCCCCGGCCCCGGTGGCCTGCTGCTGGGCGCTCCGGACGCCCCTGAGGCCCCGACTGACCCTGCAGCCCTCCTGCACCAGGGCTGTGACATCAACTTCAAGGAGGTGCTGGAGGACATGCTGCGCTCCCTCAACGCTGTGCCACCCGCCGAACCCCCTGGCCCGCTGGGGGCTGGTGCCGGGGCCCCGGGCGCTCCTGGAGGCGGTGGGGGCCCTGAGCGGCAGAGCGTCATCCAGTTCAGCCCCCCATTCCCAAACTCCTAGGCGCCGCCGGGCATCCTTCCCAGACAGGACTGTAAGAACATGCCACACCTACACCAAGGAAGCGGGTGGCCATCAGGCTGGGTTCCCCTGCCGACTACTGAGAGGACTGGGGGCCAGGGTGCCCTCATCCAGCCCACCAAGGCCCCCACTGCAGTGCCTTCCCGCCGATGCCTGGGCAGTCCCCCAAGATGCTGCCAGCCCTGGGGGGCCCCTCTGAGGCCCTGCCTGGTGGGGCAGTGGCTGCAAGCAGGTCCCACTCAGGAGATTCCGGGTCCAGAGGCCCAGGAAGGGCCTGGGGGTGGGGGCCCTCCTCCCTCTCTGTGCCTCGGTCCTCTACTGCCCCCTCCAGGCCTGGGTTGGGGCTCCTGCCCCACCCACCTTACAGGGCCTAGTCAGGCCTGAACCCCTATAATCCACAAAACTGGGTGGCCCCAAGAGCTGGAAACTCAGGAAACCCCAGGTGCTCAGGGCCCCACTGTCTCTAGGGGGGCTCCATGGGGCAGATCCCCCCATTAATATATGCAATTCCCTCTCCCTGCTCTCTGTTCCCTAAATTATTACCCAGCCACCTCTCCCAGGTTCCGGACTCCTGTGGAGCTGGTGGGTGGCCCCCTGGTTTCTATGTGTATTTATAATGAATTCAAGTGTATATATGTAAAGAGATCTTTTTTAAATATATGTGCATTTTCACTACTTCCCAGGCTGTCTGTTCCTGTGGCCTGCAGGTACCACTGCATGTTCCTCCCAGGTGTGGTGATTAGGGGGACCCAGGGACTGAGGTCAGGGGTGGCTGCTGGCCTCTCCCTGCTGGCTCATCTCCTGAAGGCTGCGTGGCCTGGCAGATGATTGGGGCCAGGCCAGGGGAGACACCCCACCCCATGAGGCAGTTTGTCCACTGTGTGGTCCTGGCACTGGAACAGCCAGCCAGCTGCCTCTGAACTGGCAGTGCCAGGCCCGAGGTGTCTGGGCCCAGACACTAGTTGGAGACAGGACCCTGCCTGGGACCCTCTTGATGGTGTTGAGTCCGGTCCCTCAGACCTCCGTGTTCACGGCTACAGCCTCTGCCTTGGCGCCCTTCCAGGTCTTCCTCGAGGGTATTGGTTGTGCAGCCCAGGGGCAGGAGAGCCCAGGAGCTGGGCCCCGTCTGGAAGACAGCAGCAAGCTGGGCCACCTTCCACACTCTCCAGGATGGCTCCCTCGAGCTGCAGGCAGGCAAGGAGGCTGTGCCCACAGCCCCTCCTGGGGGACAGCTTGTGCCTGATGAGGTGCGTGAGAAGGCTGGTGCCCTGACTCCGCATCTATTCTGTGAGGCTGGCTTGGTGCCCAGCCCAGGTGCAGCGGGCCTCCAGCAGGCAAGGCCTCACTGCCTAGGTCCCCTGACCCTCCCGCCTCAGCACATGGGAGGAGACCTGGTGGAGGGGGCAGCAGCCCATCAGGAGCCGTTATTATCTTCCCCAGGATCAGCTCTGCCTGCCCTCTGGGCTGGGCTGAGGCGATTAGCAGCCCAGGGTGCAGCCCTCTAAACCCTGAGGGAAGTCCGACGTCCACATCCCTCCTCCCCCACCCCCCGCAGCCTGGGGAGCTGGCAACACCTGCCACTGCGCCAGGAGGGGCCTGGGACAAAAGACCCCCACCATAAGTAGGAGCACCCAGCAGGCCAGTTTGTATGTTTTATTCTGACAAAGCAGCTGGGGGTAGGGGTTGCCGAGCTGCGAGCTGGGCCGAGGGGCCTTCCTCCGGCAGGGGTGCACGCCGGGTTCTCAGGTCTGCCCCACCAGGGCTGGTTTTCGGGCAGACCGTCACGGGTGCCGGGTGGAAGGCTCCAAGGGGCACGGGCAGCAGGCTCGGGTAGGGGCGCACCTTGTGGAACTAGAGGTAGCACGGCAGGTCCTTCTCAATTACCTGCAGGGAAGGAAGGGTCAGGGCACCTCTTCCCGTGCCCCCTCCCCACCCCCCGCAGCAGGCTCCCTCGAAAGGCACCTACCAGGGGCTCCTCCATGGGACCATACCGCTTCACCACGCAGCCGTTCTTGTCAATGAGGAACTGCCAGAGAGGCGGTGTCAGTACCGGGAGGCCCGCAGGGCTGGGGCGAGCAAGCAGCCCCCACCGCCACCCCACTTAGGTCACAGCTGGGGACCCTTGAAGTGGCCCAGTTGTGGCTGGGGGCTGGGTCGCCCCCCTAGGCCTCCAGTCCCCCTTACCTTGGTGAAGTTCCATTTGATGGCACTACAAAAGAAGTGTGGTGTCTGAGGAATCCCGTGGCAACTGCAGACCCCCCCTGCGCCGGGGCGCCACCCTGCCCTCCCTTCTCCCCTTGCCCCTGCTCACTTTCCCAGGACGCCCTTCCCCTTGGGCTGAACTTTCATCCACTTCCACAGCGGGTGGGCATCATCCCCATTAACACAGATCTTGCTGAACAAATCGAATTTGACGTTATAGCCGGCGGCGAACTCTTTGATCTCAGCATTGCTCCCTGGCTCCTGTGGCAGGACAGGGTGCGGGCTGAGTGGGCAGGAGCCTGCACCCCTCTGGCCCCTGCTCCAGAAGACAGGCCCTCGCCCGCGCCTCCACCTCCGCCCACAGGACGAACGGGGCCCCCAGAGCCACACACCTGCCTCCCGAACTGGTTGCAAGGGAAGGCGAGGATCCGTAAACCACACTCGGCGTACCGCGCGTGCAGATCGACCAGCTGAGTGTAGTTCACGCGCGTCTTGCCTCATTGCGAGGCCACGTTGGTGACGATGCACACGTGGCCCCTGGTGGGACGAAGGAGCCAGGTCAGGGCCAAGGCCTCTGCCTGCCTCCCCCGTCAGGCCGACTAGCACCCACCGGTACTTGTCCAGGTGAACCACGTGACCGTCGATGTCCTCGGCTGAGAATTCGTGCATGGAGTGAGCACAGCGCCAGTCGTCGCGAGCCGCGCACTGCAACGGAAGGGCGTGCTGAGCGGACTGCGGGCCCGGGGTGCCAGGCCCTGGTGCGGGTCCACCTGGCCCACTCGCTCAGCCCGCCCAGCCAGGGCTGCCAAAGGGAGGACAACTGGGGCACCGGGGCAAGGAAAGAGTGAGGCGGCTCCTCCTCAAAGCTGGGGCGGGACAGGGCGCATTTGGCCCAAGACATAACAGAGCCGGGAAGGGCTTGGGACCCTGCTAGGCGGGTGTGGAGACCCCGCGCGCACCGGGTTCTGGGACTCGGCGCCGCAGGAGCTCTCCCCGGCCACAGGCCCCCCCTGCCCAGAGTTCTCAGGC